GTGGGGGCCTGGGGGTCCCCTCAGCGCCTCACAGGGCAGGAAGGCCCTCAGGTCCGTCACCTCTGCTGCCACTGAGAAGGCCCCCAGCGAGGAGCGGACCACTGGAGGGATCCCCCAGAGCAGCTGGAGCCGCTTCCGTTGGACATGGCCCTCGAGGGTCTCCTGTGCCTCTCTGCAAAGCAGCAGCGGGTCCAGCAGCGACGCCTCCAGCACCGCCCCACTCCCTCGAGATACCGCCGGAGGAGGAGGAGGAGGGGACTCGGGCCCAGGGTCCAGGTAGGTGCAGAAGGAAGGGGCCAGGCGATGCATCCTGCGCTCTGCCATCTGCCTGATGCTCTCATGTGCTTCCTGTCTTTCAGGGGCTGCTGGAATTGGGCTCCACTGGGCTGAGATATGGTCAAAGGCGCCTCTTCCTCACCACTGACCTGGCAGTTCTGTTGACCTCGTTGCCAAGGAAATGCATTGTGAGGTGGGGCCCACCAAGGAGGAGGTGGAACCAGAATCCTAGAGTTGGAAGGGACCTCCAAGGGCCATCCTGTCTAAATACCTTCTTTCTCTCAGGTAGGAAGACACCATTCAAGCCCTTCTGACAGATAGCCTTCCAGTCTCTATTTCAATGCCTCCATCCCTTGGTAAGAACCCTTCCCCCCGCCCTTGGAAACATGGACCCAAGGGAAACCCTGCCAGCCTTCCTTCTGGCAGTGGGCCTAGGAAGCATCCCCTTCAAACTACAAGAGAGGAGATTCCATCTGAACATTAGGAAGAACTTCCTGACTGTGAGAGCCGTTCAGCAGTGGAACTCTCTGCCCCGGAGTGTGGTGGAGGCTCCTTCTTTGGAGGCTTTTAAGCAGAGGCTGGATGGCCATTTGTCAGGGGTATTTTGAATGCAATATTCCTGCTTCTTGGCAGAATGGGGTTGGACTGGATGGCCCATGCGGTCTCTTCCAACTCTTTGATTCTATGATTCTATGATTCCGCCTGGTCCTCCATAGACATGTGCATTCACATGTAATATGAAGTCCCGTGTAGCATTTCTGGAGCAACTTCTTTTCCACAGTTTGAGGTACATAGAAGAAAAATTCCCAAACACTGCCGGGGGAACTTACACACCTGGAAGGTTCACACAGGAGTGATGATAAATGGAAGGAACACAAACAAGCTCATTTGCACAAGCAACTGGGTATTTCACTGCAGTCCTTAGCAAATACACACACACATACACCCCTATCTGTAGTCAATATTTAGCTGGGCACTGGAGGGAGGGCCCTTGCTTTTAGTCTGCTTTACTTTGTGGGCTGGCAGAAGGCCTCGAGGCGGCATCTATACCGCAGAATTAATCCAGTCTCACACCTCTTGAACAGCCATGGCTCAATGCTATGGAATCCTGGGAGTTGTAGTTTGGCAGAGGAGGCTGAATCAAACAAAGGGGTAAACTATAGTAAGTCACTATAGTTTTATAGTTTCAATGGTTTTAATCTATTGCTATTTGTTGTTGATTTGATATGTGATGTTTATGTCCCGAGACGGTTTTTAAGCCACTTTTCATGTAGATCTAAGTGATTTTAATGTTTGTCTATATTTATGGTTTTATGTCCCGGCTCTGAATGTTTGCCCCTATATATGCTGTGCTCCGCCTTGAGTTCCCTGCGGGGTGAGAAGGGCGGAATATAAATGTTTATATATATATATGTGTGTGTGTATATATGTGTGTGTGTGTGAGAGAGAGAGGGAGGGAGAGAGAGAGAGAGAGAGAGAGAGAGATTGAATTTTGCAATTGATTATGTTGTGAACTGCTTTGAGTCCCCCCCCCCCTCCCCGGGTGAAAAAAGTGATATATAAGTGCAATAAATAAATACATAAATAAAATATTCCATAGCATTGAAGCATAACGATTAAGGTGGTGTCAATGTATTACTTCTATAGTGCAGATGCACCCTGTGTTCCTCCATCAAGGGCCATAGGCTCAATGGCCGGACAGGGAGAACCAGGCATGGCCCAGGTTTTGTGTCCCAGCAGCTGTTTCTGCTAGTTCAGCAACAAGAATGCACAATGGAGGACCTCCTTGCAGCAACCCCAGAGCCACTCCAAGTGGCCAGATACTGCTCAAAGGACATTTAATCAACTACCAAGTTTGCAAACTTTGTGTTCTTTTATCTGTTTGTTTGTTTTGTTCTGTTAGAAATGTAATACAATGGTCTGGTTGCCCCTAACACAATAAATAATAAATAAATAAGCAACAAGAAGAGTCCTCTTGCTCAGTGTCCCCCAGAAAGGATAAGGAGAATCTGTGATCAAACTGTGAGTAGAGCACATAGTGCAGACAGAAGGTCCAGTTAAGTCAGGAGATAAGGTGGCCTAGAAAGCAGCTTGGAAAAAGAAGCAATGCCTCACTTGGTCATAAAAGAAGCAAAGCGGGAGAAGTGATGCGAATGGCAGAAAACCACAGACCCAGCAGAGAAGCAAAGGGTGCAAAAAGAGAAAGTTCAAAAGGGAGAAAGGAGAGAAGGAGGGCCCCAGGGAGTGCAGCAGTTGAGGCACCTGGAAGGAAGGAAAGGCAGCCTTCCAACAAGGGGGGAAAGGGGAGCATTTCAACACATGGCTCTTTTGTTTCCACCACACAGAGCAAGTTCTTAGATTCCTGGGACACCTGGGGGGTCAGGCCTTGGGGTCGTTGTCCTTCCCTCGAAAGAAAGTGCTCCAGCGCACTTCCCATCAGGGATGGCATGGACTCCTACAGTCGGAAGGGAAACCCCAAGGGCCATCCAGTCCAACCCCCCTTCTGCCACAAAGGAAGGCACCATCCAAGCCGTTGGGTCACTTGTCCCCAAATGACCCTGGGCTTTCTGCATAAAGGCTGGCTTTTCTTCCTGCCCAAGCCTCTACCTCCACTACCTTTACAGCACCCCAGTTCCCTCCCAGAGAGAGTCCATTAGTGCTTTTCACTCAACATGGCAGGAGTTGCAGACTAGTTGACTAACAGGACCGAGGCCTTAGATGGAGACACACAGCATCAATACCAGAGGAGCATTAGCCTATCCCACATCATGGTGAACCCAGTGTGGGGCTTTATGGGGTGGAGAGAATGTGACCCACTGAGTTTCCAAGGGCAGGTGGAGATTTGAGCCCTTTCTCAGTATAATGGATGAGACTGGCTACAGACCAAAGTGTAAATATGTGAGAGGAAGCCACAGGGAGGAGGGAGCAAGCTTGTTTTCTGCTTCCTTGGAGACTAGGACGCGGAACAATGGCTTCAAACTACAAGAGAGGAGATTCCATCTGAACATGAGGAAGAACTTCCTGACTGTGAGAGCCGTTCAGCAGTGGAACTCTCTGCCCCGGAGTGTGGTGGAGGCTCCTTCTTTGGAAGCTTTGAAACAGAGGCTGGATGGCCATTTGTCAGGTGATTTGAATGCAATATTCCTGCTTCTTGGCAGGGGGTTGGACTGGATGGCCCATGAGGTCTCTTCCATGATTCTATGATTCATAGAATTCTATGATTATCGACCACATATGCGGACTGAGTTGGACATGATTTTATCTTGGCAATTTGGCTTATATGAATTTTATTCTATATGTATTTTAATCTTTCTGTTGTACGATGTTTTAGACTGTATTACTAGCACTGAATCCTTGCTGTAAGCCAGTCTGAGTCCCTCTATGGAGGTAGAGAAGATCAGGATATAAAAGTTTTAAATAAACAATAAATAAATTTATCCAGAGCCATAACCCAATGCTCAAACCATTATGCAATGTTAATTGTTCATAACAGCCCATCCAAGACGAAACCGCACCCAATATTCTGGATCATCACTCACAACAATAGGTTGGTTCTTAAGGAAACCCATCGTTGTCCTCTTTTCACCCCAATAATGGACTGCAGTTAAACAAAAAGGGAATTGGGAAGATGGAGGGGACCTTCTGGCCCTGCCATTCAAAGAAGGGCAGCAAAAGGACAGACTACTCTCTTGACTCCGCGGCCAATGGACCTGGGAAAGCACCACTGATAAAAAGACCAATTTACATCAGACCCACATCCCCAAAGACTTCTTCCCTTTGAAACCCGTGCCTTGATGCCAGAAACAATGAGAACAAATGGTTTGAGTTCGAAAATCCACTACTCCATTTTGCAAATGCACTCACAAATGCTTCATTCAAAGAACAGGGGCCCCGTCACACTCCCCAGTCATAGCGCTATGGTCTACTTTCGCAATATATTATGGATTTCTTGGATATGCAGCCTAGCAATGCCTGCCTCAGGAGAGTAAAGGGAGGGATGGAGGCCCAAGACAGGCTCTTTATCCTCTGGCCTCAAAGGGAACAAGCTGCACATGTGGGCCATTGCTGATTATTATTGTGGTAATTTATACCCCACAAGGAGACTCAAAGTGGCCTTCCCTTTGGCTGTTCTCCCCTCTGCAGGACAAAAAATGGACAGCGGAGAGCAAGGGATAATAGAGGGTTCTCTATGATCCCCGGTGCGGAGTACCACCACAAAGTCCTGGAATGTATCCCTCAAGGATATGAGGGTTAAGCTGAAAATAAAATGAATCCAACTGTTTAGTTTCACTTATGAAAAATATGGAAGGAGAGCACTGCCGGGCTCACTAAAGACTCATTTGGCACGAAGGTCGACATATGTTTACCTAAGTACAAACACATTATCTCTGGGTTTCATACTGAATGTCACATCCTGACTTTTTGGGCATCTTCTCTGTTTTAGTTATGATGACAGACTCGCTTTGTTTCTGTACATATTACAGCTTGTGAAGTAGAAGGGTGGGGGCCTCCAAGGCATATCAGCAAGACTTTTTCAAAACGTTCTTCCTTCATATTGAATTTGTGGTATTTTTTTTTCCTTCTGTGGTTTTGTTGTTATTCCACAACCATTTCCAACATTTGTGTAGACAGATGTTTTCACCTGCTCTTGATACAAATCATTTCTGAAAGTGTTTGCAACGCAAGCCAGACAACATGCAACACATTCCAAAAGCATCACTTACCATATCTGTAGTTTTATCTTCTTTCCTTGCAATTCAACAGTCTTGATCTTGAAGTCTATGCCTGCGAAATCAAACAAAAGGAGAGGCAAAATCAGCCATCTTGAGAAGCAACGTTTGCACAAACCCAGGGAGTGAAAATATGGCAAAAACCTCATACTTTATCCACAAATATTCCAGGAAGCCCCAGCCCGTGCCTCCAAAGCTAAGTCTGCAAGCGCAAGTACAAAACCATCCAACTTTATACCAGCAAACAGCAGTGTGCAACTAGGATGGCTGGAGTGTGAAAAACCGCAGAGGCAAAACTCCCCAAATTTCATGGCCTATGAAGCAATAATAGAGTGTGTGAGAGTGCAGGAAAATTTATGTGTGGACATGAGGAAAGGACGGCAGGAAGGACACAGGGACATAGGAAGGACATAACTCTAGACTTCTGTAGGAAACCAACAATCTTGCTTCCTTTCAGGAATGAATCACTTTCCTGGCCCAAGCAACGCCAAGAGAAGGCTGGGGAGAAGGCAAAGGTCTTTCTTGTGTTTTCAGGAAAGGCTTCAGAATCCCCCCCCCCCCCCCCAAAAAAAGCGGACGCATGTCAAGCCATGAGTCATGCGCCTGAGTCAGGAGGAGGATCCCAGTTCTGCTGACTTCAACTTTCCCCCAGTACTTACCCTGCAAGGGACCCGCCACTGAGATCCGATTGCTGGAAGTTGCGTACTGAAACCAAAGTGTTTCTGCAAGCAACGAGGATTCATAACCATGCAAACCCCTCAGTTTGCAGTAATCCCATTGGCCTCCTCACCATTCCCTTTCTGCTGCAGCGTTGAGCTCAAGATTTAAACTATGTACCGGCAATGAATCATAGAATCCTAGAATCAAAGAGTTGGAAGAGACCTCCTGGGTCATCCAGTCCAACCTCATTCTGCCAAGAAGCAGGAATATAGCATTCAAATCACCCCTGACAGATGGCCATCCAGCCTCTGTTTAAAAGCTTCCAAAGAAGGAGCCTCCACCACACTCCGGGGCAGAGAGTTCCACTGCTGAACGGCTCTCACAGTCAGGAAGTTCTTCCTCATGTTCAGATGGAATCTCCTCTCTTGTAGTTTGAAGCCATTGCTCCATTGCGTCCTAATCTCCAGGGAAGCAGAAAACAAGCTTGCTCCCTCCTCCCTGTGGCTTCCTCTCACATATTTATACATGGCTATCATATCTCCTCTCAGCCTTCTCTTCTTCAGGCTAAACATGCCCAGCTCCTTAAGCCGCTCCTCATAGGGCTTGTTCTCCAGACCCTTGATCATTTTAGTTCGCCCTCCTCTGGACACATTCCAGCTTGTCAATATCTCTCTTGAATTGTGGTGCCCAGAATTGGACACAATATTCCAGGTGTGGTCTATGTACTGCTCTCGAGCCAACCAAAGCAGAATTGACTTCCCTAGATCTAGACACTATGCTCCTATTGATGCAGGCCAAAATCCCATTGGCTTTTTTTGCCGCCACATCACATTGTTGGCTCATGTTTAACTTGTTGTCCACGAGGACTCCAAGATCTTTTACACACGTACTGCTCTCGAGCCAGGCGTCCCCCATTCTGTATCTTTGCATTTCGTTTTTCCTGCCAAAGTGGAGTATCTTGCATTTGTCACTGTTGAACTTCATTTTGTTAATTTTGACCCATCTCTCTAATCTGTCAAGATCCCTTTGAGTCCTGCTCCTGTCCTCTGGAGTCTTGGCTCTCCCTCCCAATTTGGTGTCGTCTGCAAACTTGATGATCCTGCCTTCTAACCCTTCATCTAAGTCATTAATAAAGATGTTGAACAGAACTGGGCCCAGGACGGAACCCTCCTGATGGCACTCCGCTCGTCACTTCTTTCCAGGATGAAGAGGAAGCATTGGTGAGCACCCTCTGGGTTCGTCCATTTAACCAATTACAGGAGAGGTCTACGTCAATCTTTTTGAATATTTTATCAGTAATTACAGTTTAAATGTGTTTCGAATTGTCCTCTTTAACAATCTTGTTATTCAATTGGATTCTAGAACCTTTGTAAAATAAGATTTTCATTTAATTTCGTTTTAAATTCCTGTAAGCCACTTTGGAACCCATCCCGGGAGAGAGGCGTGGTCTAATTGGATAAATAGGCGCATTTCCCCCTCCAAAAATATCCGCAGCAGTTCTAAACGAAATGGGAAGGTCTGATGGTGCCATGAGCAGGTATGGAAACTGCACACATGTTGGCTTGGCAACAAGAAACAAATAAAAAATTGGGTTGTTGTAGGTTTTTTTGGGCTATATGGCCATGTTCTAGAGGCATTCCCTCCTGACGTTTCGCCTGCATCTATGGCAAGCATCCTCAGGCCCCTTCCTCCGCTTAAGCGGAGGAAGGGGCCTGAGGATGCTTGCCATAGATGCAGGCGAAACGTCAGGAGGGAATGCCTCTAGAACATGGCGGAGGAAGGGGCCTGAGGATGCTTGCCATAGATGCAGGCGAAACGTCAGGAGGGAATGCCTCTAGAACATGGCGGAGGAAGGGGCCTGAGGATGCTTGCCATAGATGCAGGCGAAACGTCAGGAGGGAATGCCTCTAGAACATGGCCATATAGCTCAAAGAAACTTACAACAACCCAGTGATTCCAGCCATGAAAGCCTTCGACAACAAATAAAAAATTGACCCGGTTCTGCAAAGTCTTTCTGACCTGAACTGAAATGTATTTTAACGGGAGGAGACAAAATGAGTGACAGAATGGCTGCCAAAGGGGAGGAGAAGGATTACACCATGACAAATTCTGCTGGGGCCTTCTACAATGGAGGAGCTTAGTCTGTCAAGACAGGCTGATGACACATTCTTGTATCATGGCCGCCTTCCAGGACTGGAAACAGGGTCCCTAACACCAAAAAGACACCAACCGTCATACAAGAAACACCTCATTAAAATGACAGAATTCACAATGACAGTGCAGCAGAACTGCATCTTGCATTATTTAATAATAATAATAATAATAAATAATAGTAATAATAATAATAATAAAACTTTATTTATACCCCGCCATCATCTCCCCAAGGGGACTTGGAGTGGCTTACATGAGGCCAAGCCCGACAACACATCAATAGAACAAAAAAAAAAAAAAACAATAAGCAAATAAAACAATACAATTAATATTAGAGAGATGGGCCAAAACTAACAAAATGAAGTTCAATGGGGACAAATGTAAGATACTCCACTTTGGCAGGAAAAACGAAATGCAAAGTTACAGAATGGGGGACAATGCCAGGCTCGAGAGCAGTACTGTCAAGTAGGAAAATAAGTTACCACCTTAAAGTGTGGGGAGGCTAAATTAACTGATTTCAGAGGCCATAAAGAAGACTCCAGCAAAGCATTCCAGTGGGGAAGCATGCGGGGAATGCAGAAGTGCTTCATCAGCGTCGCAGATGGACGATGAAAGCGACAGCTCTCCTGGCGGCCAGAAAAAGTTAAATAGCCTCCTTCTATGTCTGTATATGTTTGTATGTCAAAAATTGGCATTGAATGTTTGCCGTATATGTGTACACTGTAATCTGAGTTCCCTGCGGGGTGAGGAGAAGGGCGGAATATAAAAGCTGGAAATAAATAAATAAAATAAATATGTGTGAAAAAGATCTTGGAGTCCTCGTGGACAACAAGTTAAACATGAGCCAACAATGGGATGTGGCGGCAAAAAAAGCCAATGGGGTTTTGGCCTGCATCAAGAGGAGCATAGTGCTAGGGAAGACATGCTCCCCATGCTCTATTCCGCTCTGGTTAGACCACACCTGGAATATTGTGTCCAATTCCGGGCACCACAATTCAAGAGAGATATAGACAAGCTGGAATGTGTCCAGAGGAGGGCGACTGAAATGATCAAGGATCTGGAGAACAAGCCCTATGAGGAGCGGCTTAAGGAGCTGGGCATGTTTAGCCTGAAGAAGAGAAGGCTGAGAGGAGATATGATAGCCATGTATAAATATGTGAGAGGAAGCCACAGGGAGGAGGAGGGAGCAAGCTTCCTTTCTGCTTCCCTGGAGACTAGGACGCAATGGAACAATGGCTTCAAACTACAAGAGAGGAGATTCCATCTGAAACTGAGGAAGAACTTCCTGACTGTGAGAACTGTTCAACAGAGGAACTCTCTGCCCTGGAGTGTGGTGGAGGCTCCTTCTTTGGAAGCTTTTAAACAGAGGCTGGATGGCCATCTGTCAGGGATGATTTGAATGCAATATTCCTGCTTCTTGGCAGAATGGGGTTGGACTGGATGGCCTATGAGGTCTCTTCCCACTCTTTGATTCTATGATTCTAAACGTGAACCGCTTTGGGTATCTATTCTGGAGTAAAAAGCAAGGTAGTAAGAGTACAAACAACCAGCACAGCTTTGAGTTGAAGGGAGAGACCCTTCAGGAGTTTAAACACTGCTTTCCCCCTTCTGAAAATGTGCAGGAGGAGCCTGGTGTAAAGACTAGGAACAATTTCTAAGAGAAGTATATTTAAGTGAGATTAATATGCAATTATATATGTAAAGAGCTCGGAAAGTCCTCAAAGTCCATGTAAACAAACGCAGGCCCAAACTGACGCCATATTAATCCTTTCCTGTGAGATTATTTTTCTTCTTCAAACAAGGGATGGGCCTCTTCATGCTCAACGCAACCAAGACACCTAGCGCCAATTGAGGCATGCGTGCCATCCCTTATCTGACTGAGTCTGAAGTCAAACTGCCTCCAAGATGTTTCCAAAAGCCAGGACTACTTTCCCCTCAAAAGAGAAAACTAGAGAGCTGAGGAGTTGTGGTGACTCAATCAACTCCCAAAGCACAATTCAAGGTGTACAAGGCCAGCACTGGGAGACAATGTGCAAATACCCTGGCAATCACCCCCTTAAACACTCCCATTTAAGAGGTCAGGAGCAGACATGCGCAACCCTTCTGGGGGTTTCCTTTCAACTGGAACACCCAACTGCAAATGCAGAGAGACAATCACATTCATTTGGTATCAAGACAAAAGCAGGATTTATTTCAGGAAGGTTTTTGCATCTAACTCCAGCATGGGCAAACTTCAGCCCTCCA